AAGAAACTGCTTGGCTTTGCCCACTTGCCACCCCGTGATTGTGTGCGATACTTCACGGACATGCTTGAAATGCACACGGAGGTGAGAGCCGCGCGCCTTAGCGGCTATATTGGATATGGTAAGTAGGAAAATCGAAGGTGTTGAGCACTTCGTGAGGCATATGCTGACATGACACGCAAAACTCTTGCCCACACAAACGTACCCTTGTTCGGGTCATCAATCTCGCGGCTGTACCGGACCATTCTTTCCTGTATGATTGTCAATCAAAGAGAAAAGACGGTCAGGTGTTTGAGAGCTAGGTAGAGATGACCGTCTGGCGTGAGGTCGGGGTGCAATTCAGCCCCCTTGGACCTTATGACCCCATATAAAATCGAGGGCTGGCCCGCACCACCACTTATCACTAGCATATGGCGTGATAGAGGGCGTGTGGGTCATTGGGGCTGAGGAATGTCTATGGATAGAATGTGAGTGCCCTTCGCTTTCACTCTTCTTCGTCCTTCTCAACAACCTTGCCGGCATGCCCTCTTCCCAGCCACTTATTGCTAGCTCTGACCGCCCAGTGTCTCTCAATAAGTCTATCCACTATCATTTAGGACCTCCAGTGTCTTCAACTAAAGCGCTGCTCACCACTAAGCGCCGAAGACACTTTGTACATCGCCTCCCCGCCGCTTGTGTAGGCGGGTGGTGGGCGACGGCCTCTAGCATTGCACTACACGCAGACTGTCCTATCTGGAGGGGGAGGAGGTTATCCGATACTCGCTGCGAGGCCTTTCAGGAGCGTGCACGGCAAAAGCCAACGATAAATGAGAGGATTGTGAAAGCTCGGTTACTTCTTTTGGCATTATCTCGTTCTGGTACTTCATTTTACTGCCCACTGTGGTCAGTGCAGCCTTCCAGGAGATAAGAGCAGGCCACTCCGTTTTCGCATGCTAAGTATACAAGAAATAATCCATGGGTTGGGATGTATCGTTATTTCGCTTCATTTGCTACCGAAAGTGATAGGACTCGAGTTTCTATGCTTTTTTCTGGACGCGCTTCTCTTCGTCCTCCGTCTCCTCGTCGTCCATCTTCCCCACCGGGCCCTCAACGCCAGCTCCAGCCAATCCCCTCGCGGCATTCGTGTTTTCACAGGTTCCGCCTGAAGCATCTGCTTTCCCATCGCTTCCCTGTAGACCGACCTGAGCCTTTCCCAGGCCGGTCTGGGAACTCACAGGCGACAGCTTCCTCCCACCGTTCCTAGTTTCCGAACTCGCCTCCTTCAGCGGGATCGCCGGCTCTGGCGACCTCAGGCTTAATTCCAAGTCCCCCGGCCGTAGCTCCACGGGTTCTGGGAAAGACATTTCCTGCTCATGAAGATAGACAAACTCCCACTCTCCGTCGTCGTACAAAATGCGGTGCTGTCCGCTTGCTCGGTCAAAGTCCTTGACCATACCGGCATACCAGGTGTCGTCATCGGGCCAGAGCACGTCCACGTACCGGCCCACGAACGCCTCCGGTCGCGCGCGCACGCACTCCGCGCAAGTGTGGAACTGGCCTTGAGCCACCACTGGCATGCTGTCATCCTCACCGGCAGCACAGACAAGGCATACTTTCTTGTTTTTGTGGGAGTGGCGCGTGAATCGTGGTGTGGGTCCGCCGCCTCCCTTCCGCTTCAGTTTCTGTTTCCCTTTTCCAGCTCTTGTGTCAATATCCTTTATGCCGCTGTTCCTGTTCAAATCATACCCACAGACGGCGCTATCCTTGCCGGCAAAACGCCGTCGCTTCGCCCGCACGCCTCCATCCCGCCCGAACCCATCGCTCTTTCCTTGTTGCCCTTCCTCTTCCTCTTGCACAAGGGTACGATATTCTTTCTCCTTCTGCAAGACTTCCTCCTTTTTCTGCTCGAAAAAACATTTCAAGAAATCTGCGTCAATATAGGCCCGAGACCGCGGGGCGTTGAACTTCTTGGCATTTCGAACAAGCTGGTGCACGTCCTTGCAGAAGTCAGCTAGGGACACGTAAAAGAGGGTCTGTACGCGATGCCTTATAGTCTCCAGATCCATGGGGTGTAAAACGGCGTCGTAATAATCAGGATACGCTTCCGGGTCCGGCGCAATCTCAAACGTGGCACTCACGTCCCGCCCGTCCCCATCGGAGCAGTCCTCTAAGGCAGACACCAGCTCCATCAGCTGCCTATCCAAAGTGATCCTGGCCTTGCTTTTGAATGACCCTGGCGCCATGGCTTGGCTTCCCTTTTCGCGACGTCTGAGGTCCTCCGGGTCTATTAGCAAAGCCAAAGTCTTCTCGAAGTCGACGCGCCCGCAAGCACTGATCCTTTTCCCCGCTGCCGACCACAGCGGGCTTCCGTTCTCAGCAAGAAACGTAGCGGCCGCCAAACCCTTCCCTTCTGTCAAAGCTTCGAAGCGATCTCGGGCAAGAAGACCTTCTTCCTCCTCTTCTTCCCCCTTTTTCCTCTTCCCTGTCATGTTCGACGTCTCAGGAGCATAGTCTTTTATGAGTTCCAAGTGTTGTGCCGACACCGAGCAGGTTTCCCCCGTGTCGCTTTGCGTCATCCGTCTCCTGCCCCTCTTCGACGGGCGTCCAGGATCGTAAATGACATCTGCGTGCGCCGGTGCGGCATTCTCGACGACCAAAGCATCAACGGCTGCAAGGGGAGCAACATTATCCTCCTGTCGTTTCCTATGCGTCACTGCGGTTTTCGTGAGAGTACTCTCGAGCGCTTCTGTGCTGGGTTTTCCTCCTTTAAATCCTCCTCCTCTGCCCCTTCTTTTAGCAGGCTCATCCGTACCCATCGCCCCGCCCTTAACGTCACCAAAATCATTTACGGCATCCGATGCGCTATGAGACGCGTTCCAATCGCCACGAAGGGGTCGATCCGGTATCGCTACAGACTCCTTATGCATATCCACATCCACACACCGGACTTCCCCGCCTGAAGGTTTTTGGTGAGCCGCAGACTTTCCATCCTCCATCATGACTACCGTCGCTGCAGTTGACCCTGCCGCAGCTGCCGCTGAGTTGTCCAAGCCGTCCGCCTTTTTGGCCAGTAAGGCCTCTTCGCCCGCTTCGCGAGCCCACAGAGGGCGCGCCAGCAAAGCATCGAGATCCCGCCGGTAGCTGGCGAGGCGTTCCTCCGTCAGTCTTCGGCCATTCTGCATCTCCAAAATCCTTCCCTCCAATAGAACTCGCAACTTGCCTAGCCGGAGCTCTGACAAGTCGCAATCGACCCTCCAGAGCGCCTTTTTCAACTTCTCGCGCTTCCGGACCAAGTCTACAATCAGTCGGGCCCGGTCCAGGTTCTTCCTGAGGTTCGCGGTCGCTTGCATGTCGAAATACTGCCCATTCAATCCGCGGTAGACGCCAATGGGAACATGCCCCGGACACAAAACCACGGGGAGCTCTCCTCGACCCTCGGCCTGAAAGTACCACCCTTCCAGCTTTGCACAAAGCGGATGGAACTGGACTGAACAGGAGGGGTGGGCGCAGCGCAAGCAAAGGCCCGCATTTTTCCGCAGACAAATCCCGCACTTGAAGGCCTTCTTTGCCTCCTTTCCCACGTTGCGCACGTCGACGGCAGCCAACTGGGGCAAGACGGGACTGTGGCCGGCTTTGAAGACGAGCGGCCCGTTGTGTTCAGCGCAAAATGCGTGCACCCACCGTATGTTTCTGTCATTTGTGGGCACCAACAACCCACCACGCCGAGGACACAACGCGCACGATCCCCCGCTCCCCAGGTCCTGCTCGTCACCGACACAAGTCTGGCATATCCACTCAGCGGCGGGTGAGGATGCTGTCGAAGGGTCCTGGAAAAAGCTAAGACAGGAAATGTGGACAGGCATTTCGCACCTGCTGCACACCATCACTGCACCCCCTGCCCCTAGATTAGACTCGGCAATTTGCCCAGCGGAACGCATGTCGCTGTCCTCCTTCATGATTGCCGCGCTTCCGCTCTGTCCGCTGCTACTGTCTTGCTCGTTCCTACTCTGAAGCACAGTCGATGGTGGTGGTAGCGTCTCTGCTGGCTCCACGAGCTTCGCTTTGGGCTCCATGCAAATCGCGCATGCATACCTGTGATAACTATCCGGACTTAAAGCCTGCTGGCCCCCCAGTCGCTTTTCCGCCTGCATTCCGCCGTAGGAGTAAGACCGCTTCTTGTGCGCGTGATGGCGCTTGGGACCGTGTCGGTCGGCCTCCCGCAGGCGGTATTTGGCGCGAAGTTGGACCTGCTCCAGCCGGTTCCGCGCCCCCGTCGGACAATGCTGGAGGCAGTAAGCCCTGACGTGGAGGCCGGCTGGGTACTCCTCTCCGGTCTCCCCGCCTCCTCCAAAGCCTCGATCCTTCAGCTCCACCGAAAGGTACGCTCCCCGAAACCATGCACAGAGAAGGTGGAATCTTGCCTCACACCCCTCTTGGCAACACTTCAAGGTGTGCCCGCGGCTTTGGCTGCAGACGACGCACTGATCGGCGCGAACCTGAGGAGTGGGAGCGAGCGCATACGTGGGCGAGGGGGCGAGGGGCTTGTCAGAACATTTCACGGCTGCGGTGGAACCGACTTCCGCTGGCACGATTCCCGCCTTCGACGTTTCGGCTGCGGCTTGTGATCCTGCTCCCAATGCCGCTCCACCGGCCTTCGAGTCCAAAACCTGCATGCCCCTTTCCTCCCCCTTGCCCTCAGGATCCGCTCTGGTCGCGTCGCCCTCCTGTACCAATTGTGCCGCCGTTGAGACCTCTGGTATCGCACCTTCGAGGGTCGCCTGCAGCCGCTCTGGAAGTAGGGCCTCGCTGCTACTGTCTGACCGCGGGACCCTCCGTCCCGACGAGGGGCTGCCTCGTGTTAATCGGCGGGCACCTGATGACGGGGTGAGAGCTGCAGCGTCTTTCTTTCCAGCTTCTGAGGGTGAGGACGCCACGGCTGTTTCACTCGTAGAAGTGGGAGCAATAGCTCTGGCAGCGGCAGCAGCTGTGACGATACCACCTACTTTTTCGGTCATCCCCTCTCTTTCGACCGTGTCCGCCGTGCCGTTCATGGACGACGCTCTTAGGGTGGCTGCGCTGGAGGGGCATTCCTTCGGCGACGACAGATCAGGGCTCCCCCCGTCCCCTTCCTCTTCTTGTACACCTCTGTCGTCTCGCACTGGGTAATTGGCAATGGTCGCGGGCGCTGTAGGGCCCACCTCCTTCCTCCCGTCCATCCCGCCGTCGCGCCCGTCGGCCAAGCACTCCCGCGCTTTCCCCCCCTCTGCGAGGACGGGGGATGGTGATGGTGGGGGGACCAACACTAGCGGAGAGGGCGGGCGCCGGAGAGGGGAGCTTGCGCTCGCCTGCGTCACGGAACCCGCCAGAGCCGAAAGGTCCACTGGGCCCATATCCATCAAGTTGGTAATGCGCGAGCGCGGGCAGAGCATCGCGCAGACGAGGTGCACCCACTCCCCGTCGAGGGTCCGCTTGAAGCCGCCGTGGACTTCGGGGCAGAGGGTGCAGGCGATGGGTCGGTCAGGATCCTCCATCAGCCCCAGGCACTTGTCGCAGAAAAAGTCCCCCTCGGGCACCTCCGGCAGCCCGTAGCAGGCTTGGTGTGCAGCCATGTCGCATCCGTCGCAAAAGACGATCTCGTTGCTCTCCGTTGAGCTTCCGTCAAAACAGACCATGCAAATGCTGTCGTCCACATCCTCGGTCGCTGCCTCCCTCGCAAGTGCTTCGGGCGCGGGTGGGGGAGGCCGGCCATCGACGGGCAGGGACCAGCTGGCGGGGAGGACCTCCTCCTTGTGCTTGTTGAAGTCAGGCTCCTGGTCGCGCAGACCCCTGACCAAACCCAGCGCCACAAACTTCCACACGCGAGCCAGGAGATACTTGCGCTCCGTGGTTGCGTCGACTTCCTTCTGCAAGGTCCGCTTCTCGGCGTCGGCGACGATGCCCTCCATCAGGCTTTGGACTCGCTCTCGGAGAGCCCTACCAACAAAGTACAGCTCCTGCTGGTGCGACATGAGCTCTAGGTCCACGTAGGACGGCTGGAGCATCTCTACGTCCATACTTATGGCTGCCTGCGTCCCGGACATGGAGCTAGGAGGAGACGGCGCCGCCACGGCGAGGGGGAGGGAAGAGTTCTCCTCCCTCTCAATCGATTCCAGTCGCAGATCTTGGCAAAAGCGTTCATCCGACTGCATACTCGCCTCGTTGCCGATAATACCCACATAGCCGCAATATACGCGCTGATGACTGTTCGCTTGCGAATGAAATACGACTTTCAACCCTCCCTTCTTTCCGATGCCGCTCGTGGCATCCACGCCGGCCCGTTCCCTTTGCAAGCCCAGGTCGGCGAAACCATGGACCAAATCCGTCGAGCCACCACTGTCAGCGCCGATCACTTTCTCAATGCTGTCCAAGCCGCCCTCTCGCTGGCTACATCGCTCTCTCAACTTGGACAAAAATGCGCCGGCTGGCTGCTGATCCTCCCCCTCGTAGGAAGCCTCCGAGAGACCGCCCTCGTCGTCCTCCGCCCCGACGTCAGATGCCACCTCACCTTCTTCCTCCCCCACGACCTTCTCTTCGTCCTGCGTGTCAAGAGCTCCTTCTCCTTCATCCCGGCTGCGAAGCCTGGCCATGTCCCTCCCTCTCGTTCCAGAGCCCCTCACCCGCGGAAATCGAAATACTACGTCCTGGTCTTCGGGCGCTTTCACGGGAAGAATAGACGCCTGAATGCGCCTCAGGCCCTCAGGGTGGTGGTTTTCTGGAAAATACATGTCTACAGCGCTCCAAAAGTGCTCCAAGTCCAAAGGCTCGTTCAGGTGCTGACCGGGATACTCGCTGAAGAGCGGGACTCCCTCGCTTTCCTTCTTCCCCCTGCCTCCCTCACCGCCACCGCCCCCTCCTCCCGCGGAAGTGGGCACCTCATCCCTCCCGTCGGATGCCACGCTCTTTGCTCCCCACTCCCGGGGGCTGGCTCGACCGCTGCCGCCTCTTCTCGCCGCACTGCCCTTCGTCAGCCAGGAAGAAAGCCCCGTAGGTGCGTCGCGGCCGCCCCCACGCCATCCGCCCCGTCCCCCTCTCCCTCCGCGGCCCCCTCGCCCCCCACCGCCACATCGACCCACCCCTCCTCTGCCCCCTGGTCCTGCTTGCACCGAGTCCGCTGTCGGCGCTCGGGCCCCCCTTCCTCCCTTCCCGTGCGAAAACTCAAAGACCCGCATGACCACCTGCGGCTTCCTTACTGTCACAGGCGGGGAATGCTTCTTGCAGTAGGCCTCGTACTCCCCGGGCGGTACGTAGATGTCTGGGTGCTCCTTGTAGAGGAGGCACCAGGGGTGAAAGGAGATGTGGCACTTGCCTACGGGGCACTGGACGCAAGGGCCCGCCTTCTTCTCCTGACAGATCATGCACTTGAGGGTGCGACGCGCAGGGGCCATGCGGGAGTAGTCAATCAGCTCCAGCTTGTCGGGCTGTGTGAAAGTGACGTCGGGGAGCCAAAGCGCGCACTGTATATGGGCCCAGTCCCCCGAGGTGGTGGGCTTCAGGGCACCCCCCCCGTGCCCGCAGAGGGAGCAGCGGACCTTATGACAGTCCATACCGTACTCACAGAGCCGGCAAAACCACTTCCCCACGGGAATAGCTTCTACACCATAGCAGCCTTGATGCACGCTCAGATCGCAGTGGTCGCAGAGTACGATTTGGTTCTCGACCTCGCTGTGGCCCTCCCCGCACACCGTGCAGAGTATGTCCTAAGGGAAAGATGATGCCGCGTACAATGACTGAACATCATATATCCACCGTTCTATGCCTTTACCGTACTCAAAATTTTATTTCACGTTTTGAAAAACGAATGAGGACAGGGAAAGGTCATGATATACCTCTTGTCTGAACAAGAGAGCGTACTGGTACGCTCTTCAGGGAAAAGGAGCTGGCTGAGGAAGACCAATGGCACGGATGTTTCACATACCTCTTCCGATGACTCCTTGACGCTATTCTCGGAAAGTTCCTGCACTGGGCTCACAGGATCGATTACATGGTCGGTCATAGCCATTTTATTTTAGTCCAATGGGGCTGAGAAAGTAATCGCCAAAGACTTTCCGTCTGCTGCGCCGGGCCGCTGGCCGGCGCAAATGGAGTCTATCGGGCACCAAGGTTCCTGCCCTCTTCCAAATCAGAGAAGCCGCACAGATAGAGGTGCCATTTCTGTCTTTACACGTGGGTGTGTGATATGCATTTCGAGTCTTATTGAGTAATCGCAAACACCCGTAAGCGAGGAAGAAGGAAAAGCAGCACCGCTCAAAAGACCAATGCACTTCCTCCATAAAAAGGTGCCACGACCTCCCGCCCGTTTGGAAAAAGGATCGCGTATACTCAGTCACGCTTGCACGACTGTCTTGTCCATCCCCTCCGCTCGTCGGGGATGTGGTGCAGAGTGGAGGGCGCAGAGAAACCGCCTCCTCGCCCTTCGTCTTTCCTCCCTGGTCGGCGAGGCGGCGGCGAGAAGTAGAGGGGCACGAAGCTCCCGTAAGGAGGCCGAAGCTTGGCGTACTAAGCGACGTTCGCGATCTACGATTGCGGTCTCTTTTTGCCCCGCGTATGAGGAGTGGATAGCTTTATCCTATGACTGGATCTTATTTTCATTTGTATTCACTGGGTAATAACTCTACCCCCCGGCACGTATTGCTTCCAATATTAAAATGAGAAAATGTAGTAGGTATGGGGTGTAAAAGATCTAACATAATAATTCTCTCTAGAAACCCGATACCCAAATTAATTTTGGGTATGCGAGGGGTAAGGCATGTGGTTCATGCATATGCAAGGGAAAGCGCAGGAGGCCGGCCGTAAAGGGATCGGGTGTAGAGTGCTGGTATAAGCATCCTTTTCAGGGAGTTGGGTACATTTGTTCCTCAATTGCATTTTTTAAAGTAGTACGGCCAGCTGTAGAAGAAAACATGGCTTGATCGCGGGGCCATAAGCCGGGGTGGTTGAGGGTTTTAACCTTAACGAAATATGCGTGTCTTCATGCAAAACATGGAGCAACTGTGGAAGCCACCCTTCAACGCAAATTGTGATGTACACGGAAAGAGCGAGGCGCAAGCCAACAAGTGTACACAAATGTAATCAAACACATGAGAGAAAGACACTCCCCAAAATCCTTGCACTTGGGCCACTCTTGATCTTACTGGCAGTTGTCGCTGTCCACGCTTCCTCATCGAGATACTAATCCCTACGTACACGCCACCGAATCCATCATCCTGGCCATCTACCTTACGTTGCACGAAGTATGCTAGTGGACAAAAGTTCATGCCCGCACATGTATACTTACTAAGCATTGCAACTTGTTCGAAATCGCTCATTTTTCTTCATCTCAGAGACAGGGGCAAGTCAAAGGTGTCAATAATGATCGAGAATAAAACATACTGAAGACTAGCAAAACAAGTCACGTCTCTCCCAGTTCGGCCTGAATCGCTCCTATAATATGACTTGGGCATGTCCGGCCTATGGGCTGGTATCATCCAATTCACCTCCGACTCTTGCTGCTCTGCTCTTTTCACATCCCTGCTATCTCTAATCTCCTTTGCCTCTATCTACAGTCGTGCGCGCGCACCTGTACCGCGTCCAGTCGACCCCTTGTATTCGGCCATAAAGGCGCTATGGAACGCCAGGAACCGTTGAATGATGTCCTGAAATTTGCTCTCCGGAGGAAGGATGGTAGTTCGGAAGTGGAAGGTGCCGTCTCGTTGCTTGAAGCCCGAGCCCGGGACCGTGGAGATCCCAGTTGTCTCAAGCAGCTTGAGGCAATAGAACACGTCCGGCGACTTTCCAGCCGCCTTGGCGGCTGCCATGGCAGCGGGGGGGAGTGTGATTTTCGGGAAGGAATACATGGCACCTTCCGTCTCTTGACAGACGATGCCCTCGCAGCTGTTGAAAGCGTCCGTGATAGCCCGCGCCCGCCGCCGCAAGGAATCCAACAAGTCTTGCTTTTCCCGCACATATTGTGCGTACGACTCGTCACCGGGGCGGGGCCCGTTGACCATCAGCCCGAGGATCACCTGGCCCGGCACGTTCGGGGATAAGTTGATTGAGGCCAGCTTGTACAGCTCGTCCGCCACGCGCTCGTCGAAATTAAGAAGCTCCATGACGCCTCCTCGAAAGCCGCACTCTCCGTACACGCCCTTGGAGGCCGTGTGGAACGTGGCTAACTCCAGTCCCTGGGCGTAGGGCGAACCCATGCTTAGCGCCACATGACGTGCCGACACGAAGGGCCGCACCGTCTGATATATGTTGTCCTGGTAGACCTCGTCCGCCATCAGAACTAGCTTGTGCTTGTAGGCGAACTTCACGAGGCCCTCCAAATCCTGACGGCTGAGGCACTGGCCCGTCGGGTTCCCGGGGTTGATGAAGACCATGCCGCGTACCCGTACCCCTTGTCGCTTCGCGTCCCGCACCGCCCGCTCCAGTTCCTCGAAATCGAGGGACCATCCCGACTCCTCGTGCAAATAGTATCCTACCATGCTTCCGCTCAGCAGCTCAATGGCGGCTGAGTACAGGGGGTACTGCGGGATCGGCACTAGGATGCCGTCTTGGGGGCCGCGGAGCATGGCTGTCAGGCCCAGACGCACGGCCTCGCTCGCTCCATTGGTCAGGAATATTTTATCAATATCAGATCCGAAGCCATCACGTCGCTGCAGGAAATCTGCGAACTCTTGTCGCACGATAGGCAGGCCCTTCGAGTCGCTGTACGCGCCAATGCCTCCCGGTGCGGCCTTCATGTAAGCCTTGGCGCGCGCGATCACATCCCGAGGGAAGATACGGTGCACATCCGGGTGCTCCAGGAGAAAAGGTGCGCTGACGAGGGCGAAGACCTGTCTGATGAATGTGATGGGTTTTTGGCCCAATCCGTGCGGGTTGCCGACGTTCGTGAAAATGACCTCCTTGCCTGCTGCGACACGTTCCGTAGCAGCTCGGTACAACTCCCCACGGACAGCATATTCGCAATGCTTGACATGATCGGGCAAACTGTCATAGTTTAGGACACGGGGTTGTGCTGCCATATTTTTTGTACCGCGCGTGTAAGTGCTGGTGGGAAGAAGATTGCCCACGATTGCGTGTTCGTGCGTGACTAGAGGCTACCAGCCGATTACTTGATCCTTCCAGGTTCTGTTAAGAGAATGGAATGAGTGAGTCCTTCTCCATTGTGTGCGAATATAAATGATACCCTGTAGTCCGTGCTTTGTAGTGCCTAACATCTCACACGATCGTTCACGGTACGTCGGACACGTTGAGTGATGTGGCTGGAAGATCGCGGGACTGGAGTGGTCCTCTCTGCGCCCTCCACAAGTAGCTTTGGTACGCGCCTATCTTCCACTCATCTTCCATGCTACGTACTCAATGAAGATACAGCACATATGATGCGAGTCACGCAATTTGTCACAATAGAGAACATCTGTTCGAGGGCGGAAGAGGCCTGCACTTTCTAAGGACATCGCCTCGGGGGTTTGAAAATCCTCCCAAGGACAACGGCGAGGCAGGCATGGCCTTGTAAATTTAGTGGAGGGCTTTTCGAGAAGAGGTTTTTTCACAGTGGTTGACTTGACATCATATTGCACGCGCACAGGATGCAGTCAGCCCCCTGAGCTCTGCATCGAAATTTCTATTCTCTCTGACAAAGAGTGTCAGTACATGTGCATCCGTTGCAGTGGTGCGTGGTGCTTTGTCAGGCTTTTCTTCAAACAGACCTGTTTTTCGCTTCAGCACGTCCCTCCTTTTTTTCATGCGTCAGACAAGTATGTATGTGCAATTATTTTTCCAAGCCCTTTGCATGTCAAGACGGTGCTGGGCACCCTCGGGTCTCTACTTGGAACAAGCGAAATTCTGTGACTGCTTGTGACCTGAAAAGGACAACGGTGACATGGAGGCCTCGAGGTCTTTTTTAGCCCACTATTGACGCCTTTGCAGTCAAATATTGTTTTTAATCTGACACGCTCGTTCCCTCATATATAGCTTTCTAGATGAATCCTGTATTTTTTTTGTTCCGAAAGAAACTAACACATTTTTCCGCCCACCCAATTTCAGTTTTTAATTTTTTTCCTCTTCCACTACGCCAAAACTCTTCGTCTAGTTCCTATATGACACTATCGGTGTTTGACATCATGGAATTGTATTTTTCTTTGTCGCTTCCGATACACACAAACGCCATTACATACTTTTGCTGGCCATTTCTTTCAACATGTTACACATGCCTGGGAATGTAACTCCACGTTCAATACCCCCTTTGAAATTTGACACACATTTTGGGGCGAAAGTGGAGGGCCATCGCACTCCTCTTTTCCTGTAGGAATGTATTCGGATAATTGGGGCCGCCTATCCCTGTTCTAAAAGAGATTGTAAACTGCCAATCAGACGGGTACTACAGCCTCCATCTTTTCCTCGTCTCCGTTCGCTTCATCGTCAGTCACTTCCAGCACGTATCCGAGATCATCGGTGCCGTAGACTCGCAGAACACTGCTAGTAGAAGCGTCCCTTCGACGCTCGAATGGGTCCTGCAGGAACACGCAACGCCGACGGGTGCATGGATGGTGAAGTACGTAGTATAAACCGCAACCCATCAAGACAGCGACTCCACAGATGAGCCAGGTCTTGAGTGGAGCCATTGCCAGCATACAGACAAGCAACATTACCGGTCCTGATAGCATGGCGCAGATGCCCCACGTCCCTAGCGGGATGCGGTAGGGTCGAGGCAAGCAGGGGAGCACGACGCGGAGACGAACAAACGCCGCGAACTCGATCAGCATGGCCAGCATGTACAAGAAATTGAGGACCTGTACGATTTCCAGAAAGGACATGGACGCCAAAAACGTGATGCCACATGCACTGCAAACGATGGCTGCGGAAGGAGTGCCATGTCGCGACCGGTGGGCGAAGAAGGCAGGCAGGTGGCCCCGTTCGGCCAGGCCCATCAGGGAGAAGGCGTCGCTGGCCATTTCAGCTTCAAACATACCGACAGAAGATAAGGCCGCCGCCAGGGCGATCAAGGCTCCGAGCCACTTCCCTACCAGGTCCGAACCGACCTTCCCGAAGAACCCGTCGGTGTACTCCGTGTAGGCGAACCGGGTGCCCGTCACAGCCGTCGCCAGAGGCACCAGGGTAGAGAGCACCACCAGCGCCACGGCGATGGCCAAGGCTCGGGGGAAAGCCTTGCCCGGGTTCTTCACGTCACCGGCGAATGTGGCCACCGAGTCCCAGTAATTGAGCTGCCAGAATAAGATGTTCAGGAGGCTGGACCACTGCACGGCCCCCCATCCGCCCTCCGGCAGCTCCCCCAAGCGGCTACCGTCAAGCTTGTTATATTGAACCAGCGCAGCGATGCACATGATTACGAACGGGAGCATGCACAGCGTCATCAGGACGATGGCAGCCGTTCCCACCACGTCCAGGCCCCGCCAGTTCAGATACGTAAGGACCAGGGTCAGACCCAGGAGAAGTAGGACTCGGTGGAGACCGTCCACGACCCCAATAGTTTCCGCTTCTTTGTGAAAGAAGGAGGTGAGATAGTCTGCGATGAGCACTGGATAAAGGGCGTTGTCCGTCACGCCACTCAACCAGGATAGGTAACCCTTCATCCATCCCCAAAAGGGACCAAATGCGGACTCGACCCAGGCCACAGATCCAGATGGCTCAGCAAACGCTGGTGCACACTCTGCCGTGATGAGTGCTTCCGGGACAGACCATAGCATTGGCAGGACCAATAACCCAACAATTGTGACGAGCGGGCCTGCCGATTGGACTGCTTCTTCCATGCCAAAAGGTCCCCCTGAAACTGAGAAGAAAATCAAGGCCGCCAGCGCAGCAGTCCCAATCTGATGCTCTTTGGGGGAGGGAGACGGCGGACTGACAATGACCGCTTTTTTCGCGGCCAACAATGGTGCGATGGTCTCAGACATACCTACGTGTGTGCCTGAGGCCCCTGGCAACGTTTCAGTTGATGTGGTCTTTTATTTGCAAAAAGATGGAAGCCTCCCAGGCGTACAAGGAGCCCCTAGGAGATCCCCGTTTCAGTACATCGAGGGTCCCCGAAAAATAGGCGCATGGAGAACTGCTTTCGTTGTAGAAAGTCACCAGGATCGTTCACTAGTCGAACGAGTGCGTCGCTTGCGCGAAGCGGCCCACACCTTTGAGAGGCTTCAAATTCTCTTTAAAATGGGCGACCCAGGCGAAATAAGAGGAAGACAACAAGTAGAAATGAGCGTCTTGGCAGTTAACTGTTTCGTGCATGCATGTGATCGGCCTTTCCGTCGCTGTTAAAATAGACATGAAACATGGAAAGCGCAGCAACCAGCCACAGACCCAAATTCGCGACGGCGCCATCCATCATATAACCCATACCGAGGACACCGTGACTCGGTGAGTCGTGCTAAGAATAAATCAAAATTAAACTCGATGATAACCCCAACAACTACGCCGTGACTTTTCTTCTTCTTTATCAGAAATAAAATATCCCAGTTTTTTTCTTGGGTTGAGTTGTTCGAATGGGCTTGGGCGCGAGTGGAGGGTCAAATTTGGTATGTGCCAGAAAGGACCGAGGTTTGAAGACGAGTGGCAAGGCCAGGTTGTCCCTCACGAACGTAACAGGGGCGAAAGGCAGCTGCAATAGAAAGCCAAAGACGAATGATTTAAGAGTCAGATATGAGACCCTGCGGCCGCGCTCTTTCTCAAAGGTACGCAACGCTTGGCTCACTTCTCCCGGACCGGGGTTTCCTCTCTTGAAAGTTGCTGCAAGCTTTTCCCCTAAAACAAGGGCATCCTCCATTCCAGCGGCCCCACCCTGACCCAGGTTGGGCGTCATGGGATGCGCGGCGTCTCCCAACAGCGTCACAGATCCTCGTCCCCAGTTTCCCTGTGGCTTTGGCCAGCGATCTCCAATACTCGTACGCAACACGTCCGTCGGCGGCGTGGCGGCGAGGATCGTCGAGACACCCCACCTTTCATCCCATCCATCGAGCACGCTTCTAGCTTTGGCCAGCAATGCTGCCCCATCGTCCGACTCCCCTCCGCTCTGAGGCCCGTTGTAGGTGACAAACCAGTACAAGTTCGTCTCGGACATCCGGAAAGTGCCCAGCCTGACGCCCGCCCCCCATACCTGGTTTATCACTCCTCTTTCGAACGTGAAGTATGGGCTGGTCTTGGCGCCTTGAGGAAGTTTCGCTACCCCACGAATGGCCTGATATCCTGCATAATTGGCCGCTTTCTCCCCTGGGAACAGTAGCTTATGAACTGTGCTTCCTACACCATCGGCGCCCACCAGGGCCTTGGACGTCATTCTCCTCCCATCCGAAAACTCTGCAAGAATCCCTCCTGACACTTCGTCCTCGCCAAATCCTTCCAAGCCTTTGTTATACATCACGCGTTGCTTGGGGACGATTTGCAACAACTGACGCAACAAGTCACTTCGCAGAACGTATCGAAACTCGTGCGGTCCCCCATCGCATTCCCCGAGGTCAAAACTTGTGAGTTCCCTCCCCTTCATGGCAGTGCCGATCCGTAGGCGGTCACCTTCCCAATTCGACTTTCGCAGCTTCCCTGCCACTCCGAGGTTCTCCAAGCATCGCCACGCGTTCGTCCAGAACCCGATGGCCGTGCCGCCCTCTCGTGGAGAGCTTGCCCTCTCGACCAAGCGATAATCAACTCCACGGCGCTCTAGGTCAGCCGCCAATGCCAATCCTGCAATACCAGCCCCGCAAATCAAAACATCTGTATCCACCTTGGAGCCTACTGATGCCTTTGTCGTCACCATGAGACGTGGGGAAGGCCTATGCATCTGATGCGACATTTGGAAAGCATGCCCTTGAGGTATTGCTATGAGCATAGCCGCGATCCCATATGTCCATAAGACTGATCTTGTCACAAGAAAATCCATGCTGAAGAAATTGAACCGCCTCCTTTTAGCTTAAAGCCGTCGTATTATCCCCGGTTTACGCCTTCCAGGAAGTACCGGTCAGCTTTTGTCGGGAACGCGGCTGACTGTGTCGCAGGTGCCAGTCTCCTTCTTTTTCGTTCCAGAAATATGAGCAAATTTTAGTAGGCAGTGAAACATCCACCTATGATTTTTTGACATTATGTTGTGCAAAACCCAATTCCAAGGCTTGCTAAGAGGTGACATTGAACCCGAGTTGACGGCAAGGTCGGAGTCCGACTCCGCGCTGGGCGTGTCTGTCGCGCCCAAACGGACTCAGCGACGCTCACTGAGCGTGATGACTGTCCTCCTCGTCCTCCTCCTGTCCCTTTTCCCCGCTGTTGCGCTTCCGATCCCAAAGTTCCGTTACTTTGGCAGAACCATCGGCTCTAGCTCTCACATGAGTATCGATATAGCTAATACGGAAGCGAAATCACGCCCAATGGGTGGTTCACGGCTCCTGGTGATGACAGCCTTGTGAGGGCCCCTATTTCGCGCAAAAATGGTCCACCTTGAGCGACAGTGAGGACTCGCACACAGCAAGCAGGGCATTCTGACTAGGAAAGTCGACGATGGCAGGCGGGACGCGTGTCTTGTCCAACGGGGCTTTGTTTCTTCTCTCGTTGGCCACACACGCGTCCAGGAATAGTTTGACGTTGAGTGGAAATCTTTCGTGGTGCGATGGTTTGTGTACTGCGTTGTAACCCTAGAACTGTATCGACAGCGTCCGACACTCTCCGTGCATCAGCATTTGATACATGACTCAATGAGAAAACGTGTTCCCCATGTTTTTTCACGAACATTATCTATCTATGGCAGGTCCATTCAGGCAATTCCATTACGTTGTATACACGAGCAACTGTGAGCATCTGGCGTAGGCAAGTGACCTTTAACGCTGACAACATCTGCTCCTCGCAGCCTGCATTTCCAAATGGAGACACCACCGCAGACACTACCACCATCACCTCTTGGAAATCGGCATTCTCCGGAGCCAAGCAGGCCACAGGCTACGTCGAGGATAAGAAGGCGTTCACACAGTATAAGTGGCTGTGGAGGGGCGGTAATAGCGGAGTGGTGGCGACTTATGCTGCTGTCCTCTTCGGCAGCAACCGCGGCTGCAGCTGCCACGGCGGCCTTTATCGGAAGCGGGGGTGCCACCCCAACTTCCGTGGGCGGCGCCGTACCCACAGCGTGGTGGGTATCCACTCAACAGCAACAACAGCTTAATCGCCAGTCGCAACTTCACAATTCGTGGTGTGCCGTCTCCAGTACGTCTCGTCTCGCAACCGCAACGGGAGGATGGGACTCATCAGCTGCTCCCCTGAGGGGTCGACGCGGGTGGGACGGCATGATGGGGGCACCGGATAAAGAGGAGGTTTTATTGCGGGCAGCATCTCCTGTCAGGGGTATGTCCGAGAAGCCGCAGGCTCGGTGGCAAGGTGAGGGGCCTGATGGTAGGGAAGAGGAGGGGCAAGACAGAGCGGGCAACGTGGGCTCGTCGTGGATGGAGGCATTGAGGTTGGAGAAAGGCGCCCTACGGCGGAATCATCGCTTTGAGGTGACCATACGAAAACCGCTGGGAATTTTCATGTCGGAAGGGGAGGCAGACGTGGGCGCCCCCACCATTTCGGAGGTACGGCTAGGTAGCAACGCGGATAAGGCTGGTCTGCGCGTCGGGGACCGAATAGTGGCAGCCTCTGCCACAGTGGGAAACAAGCTGTGGACCAAAACGACGCTGGTGGGTGTAGAATCAGCCATCAACTCGCGTTTCCGCTTTTCCGACGACATCACCTTCTGCGTGGAAAGGACCCTGGCGCAGGACGCGGGCGACGACAGTATCGCGAGTCGGCAAGTCGAGGTGTTCGAGGTAGAGTTGGAGAGGCCGGTGCCGTTGGAGTTGATGCAAGAGAATGCAGAAGGCGGCGTCTTTGTTCGACGTGTGCTGAAAGCGGACTGCGAGGCCCTGCGGCGCATCCAGCCGTACGATCGAGTCGTCGCCGTCTCGGCGTCCCTGGGAGACCGCATGTGGCGGACGAACTCTCTGGACGGTGTCCTCTCGGCGCTCTGCACCCGCATCGGCAGCAAGGTTCGCTTGCAGTTCGAGCGCAGCCCAGAGGTCGCTCGTCTGATCGCGCGTGGTGCCGGCAACCCTGGTGTTGGGGTAGCTGATCTGGTACCACCGCTCCCTCCTCGCCCCTCTATGGCCGCTGCCTCCTTGCTCTCCCCGTCATCCACGGCTGACCTGGTAGCGAAGGGGGAAATGCTGCTCATGGGGGAACCACGCGTGCACGCCGTCCTGTCCCAGATGGCCGGAGCCCTCCGAGCGCGAGACCCGGACCTTGCGATCTCGATCTTTAAGTTGGCCGTGGAGCGGGGACTGACCCCGGACGCCCACTGCTGCTCGTCATTGATCAAGGCGTATGGGATGAAGAAGCAGGCTGACAAGGCGCTGGAGGTGGTGAGAATGATGCTGGAACTGGGGGTAGCTCCCGATCTGGTGACGCTGAACGCTGCCATGGACGCCTGTGAGAAGGGAAAGCGGCCCGAGGAGGTTCTCAGGCTCTTTCGGGAGGAAGTGCCCAGGCATGGACTGGTGCCTGACATCTTCAGCTACACGGTGCTGGTGAACATGTATGGGAAGCGAGGGGAGCTGGCTGAGGCCTTGGCGCTGTTTGAAGAGGCGGTCGCCTGCGGTTTAGAGCCCGAGCTCCCTGCCTACACCGCCATCATCAAGGCGGCAGTGAAAAAAGACGACATGGGGACTGCACTTGCCCTGCTGCGACGCGTATTTGACAGCGGCTTGAGCCCGGACGCGCGTCTGTACAACACCCTGCTATGGGGTCACACGAAGCGCCTGGAGTGGTCCAAGGCGATGCAGATTTTGAGGCTCATGGAGGCGAAGGGCTTGGTGCCCGACCGGCTGACCTACAGCTACCTGCTCTCCTGTCTCGTCGACTGCAACCAATTGGAGGTGGCACAATCTTTGTGGCGCGAGATGCGGGACAAGGGCCACGTCAAGCCGAACCTGGAGTTGTACAGCCTGGCTGTCGACATGTTCGCCAAAGCCGGAGATACTACTCAAGCCGTGACCATCTTCAAAGAAATGCGCCGCAACCGTGTGCAGCCAAATCTTGTCACGTACACCGCCCTCATGGAAGCCTTTGTCCGCGCAGGCTACCCCATGGCCGCTCTGTCCATCTCCGACGAGATGCGGCGGAAGCCCGGCCTGGCCCGTGATGTGACGAGCTGCGTATGGCGTCTCAAATGCTTCGTGGAACTAGGGGATCTGGAGGGAATCGAAAACTTGATCCAGGAAATGCAAGACAGTGGCATTCATCTAAATGTGGTCGTCTACAATCAATATCTGCGAGGCGCGATGCGAAGCGGGCGGTATGAGCTTGCTCTGCAAATACTTTCCGCCCTATTTGAGAAGAGGCTCCTTCCAAACCTGGAGACTCATCAATGCCTGCTCGAAATGCCCACTCCGAGTACCGGAGGAGCAGTCAGCGGTCTCGCCCACGGTGATGGTGTCGAAAGTCAGATGGAGGAGGCACGGGAGCAACTTGTCATGTTTTACCATGCGGCCTTGAAATTACTCGCGGAACAGAAAGTTCGGGCTCGGGTTAACCTTTACGTGGCGTGTCTGCATGCCTGTTTGCGTACTGATCGACTTGATCTGGCAGCTGAAGTGATGGCATTGCGGCGGGCCAACACTTTGCAGATCTTTCAGCTGTTCAAAAAGCACGAGGAGAAGGTCCACAGGTGGGAACGGAAAATCGACCGGGAGCTGGACGCCCGGTTTTATTCAAATAAGAACCTGGTGTAAAACATTGAGATTTCTCTTCTGGAGGAAATTCTTTGGAGGAAATTCTTTCAGAGACATTTGAAAAAGAGAAGACATGCAAGTGAATGAGGCTTGAAATTTAGGGAGTAAAGAAACCGACGATGAAAAGCATTAATGCACGCTGTGGGGTCGAAGGAGGTAAGATTATCTGCAGGGTCCAATAATTTGCTAGAAAGCTGCAGCGCAACCGCTGCAGGCCAACCGAGACCACTTTCGATTCCATGTATGTTTGTTGGTGGTCGAGATGGTTCGTTATGCGACACGTGGCGAGAAGAAAGCTGCATGCTATAGATTAGGTCGAATTTTTTTGTAAAATTAAGCTTGAGCTTTTTAAAAGATAAGCAAATGACAAGTATCAAACACGAAGACGTCGATTCTTTGAGTTTAGGGTGGTGTCCTCGCTTGCAAAGTCCAATCCTCCAATATCGTACTTTGCCCTCAGTCCTTTGTGTGGCTCAGATACTTTTAACAGCGGACCTGCGACCAGCGGAGGGTCACTTATAATACGCTACAAGAAGCTGTACACTGTGCCAGCATGTCCCTTTCCTGCAATCACGGATGAAAGGTCTGCTAGCATTCATCGCACTTAGCTGACGGGAATACCCCACTCCTCGCACACGTCTTGCATATTGTACAGCACGATGTGCGGAAAGTGCTCCAGCGCCATCGTAGACGAGACGTAGATCTCACTCAGGTCCTCCGGAAGCGCCCACACGGGCGTGTAGCACTGTTTGTACCACCTCCCCAAGAGACCCCCACACCTTTCACGCTCCACCCGGTGAGACTTGACGAGGTGAACAATGCGCCCGGCGGGGATCAACCGCACTTGGACCATACGCCGATCCACTCGTCGCATCTGCTCTTCGTACGCCTGCAATTGCGTCAAGAATTCGGAAGGCGGCACGTCCTGGGACGAGTAAAGGAGCCGGTCGACCGCTGCCCGCGAGTCCTTCTCCATCATGCTCCGGAGCACGGTGTTCTTGTTCGCACGGCACCGGGCAAGCAGACGGAGGATGTCATCGCGAAGTCCGCGGACGGCGTCGAGGGTAAGTCGAGGAACCAAGTCACGGCCCAGGACGAAAGTGAGCGTGAAGGCCTTGGTGTACTCGGCCAAGCCGGGAGATAGGAGGCCCCCGGGGGTGCAGTAAGCGAGGCAGCGGAGGTCCGGGAAGTCGCGGCGAAGCATAAGGGAGAGAAAAACCGCCGCACCCGCCCCGAGGGAATGGCCGACTATGCGCAAGCTGTATCCCTTACTGGATTTGGTCAAGGGCGTGTGGGGTCCGGCAGGAGGGGAGTCGCCGTGGTCCCGCTGGATAAGCCGCTGTAGGATTCGGTGCTTGCACAGGTCTTTCGCGATGCAGTCAGCGGCGTTGGCCATGCCAACATGCCCGTACTCTCCATCTCCAGGAAACCCCCAAGCTTTCCCCATCGCGTCAAGGGGCCCGGGCTCCGCGTGCGCATCGTTGAGAAGGTCTTCCAAGGACAGGGTGCCTCGGATGGCCACCACCACGCACTGCCACTTGTGATCAACAAAGATGCCGTACGGACGCTCATACAGCGTGTTGATAAATGTCGCGTAGGCCAACTCACAGCCCTCTCGCCCGTTTAACCACTCCCAGAGTCCTGCCTCGTGACCTCGGAGCCAGTTGTCCCCCAAGACGGCCCCAAGGTCCCCGTGCACGCGCGAGCGAGGACCTTTGGGCATGCGGAAGAGTCTTCGGGCGCTGAGCGCTGGAAGTGCGAGGCAAGGCGTCTTGGCGTAGGTGAACATCATCCAAGAGTACATAGCCAGGGCGTAGGCCTCGAAGTGCGTGCCTTCCTCCAGCACTTGCCGGTCCCCGGGGTCGTCGCGAGACAGAGCGTGCTTCACCAGGTAATGCCCGCACTGGAAGCGAACGCGCGGGTGCACCCCTGGCGTCACAGTGCTTGTCCCAGACGCCCCCATTCCCTTTGAATCAGAGGTACTGGAGGCGACGTCGGCGGCGGCGGCGGCGGCGGACCCTCCCTCTTCCAGTTGCTCTCTTAGGAAGCGCTCCTCCGCCTCCAACAGCTCCGTTCCGCGCCTCGACACCATCTCGTGCTCTTGCGCCTTCTGTACGTGTCGAAGCAGGACGAACCCGGCCAGGATGTCGGAGGGCAGCACGTCCAGGAAGCCCTCGGAGTGGAAGATGTCCGCCATGACGCGCGCCACCACCTCCATGTCCCCGATGTCGCCCCCCTCCGGCCCGCTCGCGCCCGCCGCGCTCGAAAAGAGGTGGCAGGTCGTGTACCGCAAGCACGTGCACAGAAAGCTACACCGACCGCGCCAACGATCCTCAGCAGCGGAATAGGAGGCCAGAGACTCGTGCTGCTCGAAGTGGTGCACCGCCTGCTCGGCCTCCTCGCCGACGGGCTCCCCCACCAGGGTCGCGCAGCAGCAAGCTTTCATGGAAACATCCGCAAGCTGTGAAATGACTATGAGGGCCACGATGAGATCTACGCGATTTTGAAGGCTTATGGTGTCGCACATGACCAATGCCTTGGGGTTGGAGAGGATGACCAATCCTACCAAGGCAACCACGAGCTGCACACCTCCGAGACAAGTATGCAATGCGACCAGCGGACCCACGGCCTTCCGGGCCTGCGTATGCACAATAGAACCACGTTGTGATACTGCAACAATTGCCAGTTCCACCAGCACCGTGGCTAGAAAGAGGGTGATTGAGAGCCCAACAAAAGTATCGACAATGCCGGGGCGCGAGCAGGACTGCAACAAGTACTGCAAGTGCAAGAAAAGACCTAGCACCACCGCCGACCACACTAGCCTACCCACTGCCATACAGAAAGCTGGCACGGTTACCGCGTCGCTGGCAATATGGTAATGCCGTCCCATAAGTTCCATTCGGGGCATGGCTAATTGAATTCAAGGAGGTTTGAGGCGGGTAGAAACCAGAAGCAAGTTTTTTTGGGGTCAATTCCCGTCACTCTCCACTTTTTCTTTCCCTTATTGAGGTTGAAGACGCAGCAAACTGCTCTGAGCGCCCTGTGATTTGTGATTTACTCAAAGTCAGGACGAGTGTTGCAAGACGGGGATAGAAGTAGACCGCTCCCGTGCCAAGTTCTATGCTCTCGGCGAGCCTCGCGACAAAAGCCCTGTCGGCGGTCTCACCACCCGCGGAAGCCGACGCGCGACGAGTGTGCTCCGGGCACTTCAAAGGCAGTGCAGGAATGCGTGTCCTTGGGGTCGTTTGGAGGTGCCCCCGTTGAGTGAATGTAAAGTGGCAGAGGTGGAAGGAAACGTGGGTGGTGCGTGTTCCAAGCAAAGGGGGCGGCGGGGAGGCGACAGGGCCTTGCACTCTGGCAGGCGTGACGATGAAACGCTAACCATAAGAGACCACGCAGTGCACGCAGGTATATGGCGGACGAGGAGGACTGGGGCCCTGCCCCACTGCCAGACTTTAATCGACTTCGGCTTGGTGGACGGGTAAGTAGACAAGCACGTACGGGGGAAAGGTAGGGGACGCAAAGCAATGACGCTTCCACGCTGAGAGCCAACCTTTCCCGCACACAGGGCGCACCTGCTACTAGCGCTAATGTAACACCGTCCGAAGCTGCAGGGATAGCTGGAAAGGGCCTGTCTTCGGCGGGCATCGTGGCAGTGACGACGGTCGAGCGTGACGCTGCCATCGATCCAATTTTGACGGGGGCAATGGACAATCCGAGGGAGCGCGTAAATGTGCTCAGATACGAGGATGCCATGGTACAATTTATGAAGGCCGGTACGAAACAGCAGCAGCTGGAGTTGTCCCCGAACTCATCTTACCACCGGCTCGTCTTGTATCGCCTCGCCCATCGTTTCGGCCTGCACGGGGCCGCGGAGGGAGAGGTAGGGGCCGACGCGGGCGGGAACCGGAGCGTCAAATTTTTCAAGACACCACAGAGCAGCATTCCCCATCTCTTACTCATCGACACGTGTGGAAAAGAGGGGGTGAACGGGAGTGGCGAAGGAAGCGGCAGCGGGAGTGCCAAAGCCCCCGTAATGAGGCTTATGCAGCGCCGGCGGACGCCCGGGGGAGACTCAGAAGCGAAGGAAGGAGCGGTGCGGGGCAAGGGTTCCGGCGAGGAGAAGACATCCAGTACGGTGAACGGGGCTAGAAGCGTGATCGACAGAGAGAAGGCCTACGCGGAGGCCAGGGCCCGGATTTTTGGCTCCTCCTCGAGCACGACCGCCTCCACCAGCTCCCCTTCGCCCACCAGACCTCTAGATAGCAAGGGGAAGACAGCCAACCCTTCGAACGGAGCCAAGCTCGGGCTCGGCAGGACATCACGGGCAGGGTCGCCTGCGGCGGACGGCCTTTCCACCCCCCCGCCCTCCGCGGGCCCCGGGCTCCTGGAGGAGGGGGCGCGGTCGAGTCTCGAGGAGGAAGCGAGGAAACCGAGAGGAGGGGCGGGGGAGCAGGAGGAGAAATGCAACGGCGGGAAAATGGAGTGGGGCGAGAGCAAGGTCTTGTGGCGAAACCGGGAGGCAGAGCGCTACGACCCGGACTTCGTGCGACACCGGCCACCTAGGGGATTGGGCGGGGGGGACCCCTACGGCCCTGGAGGGAGGGGGGCGGTGTACGGTGTCCCTCCGCAGCCCCCCTACGGCGCGATGCCTGGCATGACTATTCCTTCCAACCCTGCCCTGGCGGCGTACCCCCCGGCTTCCTACGCACAGCCGCACCTGCAGATGCAGCTGGAGCAGCACCAATGGGCCGCCTATCACCAGCACCCACAGGCGCACCACCAGGGAGCTTTCTTGGCCGCCCATCATCCCCCCCACGCCTACTATAACGACCCTCGGTATGCGTCACAGTCTCCACATCCCTACCAGCGAGGGGGGGGGGGGCAGGGGCCGGGGGAGAGCCGATCCATCCTTGAGGGGGCCCTCTCCGCCGCCCCTCTCGCGCGCATTGAGCGAGGGGAGCGATGTAGACCTAAGACAGAGAGAAGATGAATTTCCCCGCTGAGTAGATAGGTAAATCTAGGAAAATTAAGGAGTTCAGAGGCTGAAAGCCGAATTCTTAAAGAAATCGAGACACGAGACGTCAAGGGTCATGCCACATCCGTGGCCTTCACGCTTTCCGTTGCTGTGGCTGGATTTACACATTTTCTTTGTGCTACCTTCAAAAATATATCTGCTGTGCATCCTGTAGGGTCTGCTCTACGGGGCAGATGAAGCACTTGAACCGGTGCTGACCCTGACTGGCTCGGCCGCCCGCGGTCTGCGGCTTCAGAAGCCGATTCAGGCTGTTGCGACATATCACGTGGCCGCATTTGAGCACCATGGGCGGATTTGCGCGACTGGCTTGCTCCCGCGTCACGGGGCAGGAGAAGACGCTGT